CCCCCCACCACCACCTTTTTTTCTAGAAGGCGATACTAATTAGCTAGTTAAAACTCATCAAAAGTCTGCGAATTTATGTGACGCTATAATGATAATTAATGGATACACCCTTATCTAATTGTGTCTGAAAAGGGACATTTTAGGAAGTAGATGAGTTTCGCTGAATGTCAGTTTAGTGAGTTTTAAAAATGCATGTACACTTGAGGTAGTCAAAGCTAAATAATTTGAAAGGTGTGTTAAATACACGGCACCCCGATCATCTGGCTGTGACCCAAAATTTTTTAAAAGTTGTGAACTCTGAACTGACCAGCAGAATTTTTCAAATCAAAAAAGAAATTCTTTCGGCGTAAACAGACTTTCAAGGTCACCTAGCGTCATGCGATTTTGATTTACAGGTGATGCACAAGGATTTCCTGCGTACAGCATGTATGTGCAGAGAACGAATGCATTGCGCAATAGTTGTAAATAGGTTGAGTTTGAACCAAAGTTGTGGAAATTAAATAGCATCTGTGACTTTGGCGGTGTAAATAAAATACAAGGTATTGTTGTTGTTTTTTTTACAGATTATGTAACGGGGTTCCATCTCTCTCTCTTTCTCTCTCTCTTTCACGACATAGTATTTACACATTTTACAAGAAAAGAATAACTTATCAAAATGAAGAAAAACTTATTTAAACAATTAATTAGACTGAAAGGATTTTTAAAAACATAGTACTAGTTTATGAAAAGAAATGTTTTCTTCACGCGAAATGCGATCGGAAGTCATTTTATTAATTCCGAGTTTCTGCTTCTGATTTTCGTATCTAAATTCAGAGTAATTAAAGATTTTGAGATTAAATAAAGATTTACTTAAGAAAAAAGAAAAAAAAAAAACAAACAAGTATTCTATGCCCTGTAAATTTTTTAAAATTATTTTTCTTCAACATGTTTTAATTAATAAATTTATTTTTTGTTACTGATATTTCTCTTCTAAGGCAGACATTTAAACGATAGATCAAACAATTCCTTTCTTTTATTTTCTTATATCCTCCATCACTGCTTCAGTGTAAATTAATTTTTAAAATTGAAACCGAAACATAGCACACAAGGCTATGATAAACACAATAGCATACATGTACATGTAATAAACCATTTGAACTTCCCTAATAAATAGAAACTCATTAATACTTCAAGTTATATGAATAATAAATAAATTACATTCTTTAATAATGGAAATAAAATTGTACACGTGCATAACAATCTTCAAAATTCGTTTAAAATGGATTATTTTTTAGCAGCCAATCAATGACCAAATCTAACAGGCTCCGCCCACTTCATTTGCATACCGTTTCCCAAAGCGTACCGTTCACAAAACGAACCGTTCCGTGCAAGAAACGAAACGTATCGTCCACAAAGCGTACCGTTCCGTGCATAAAGCGAACCGTACCGTGCACAAAGCGTACCGTTCCGGGCACAAAGCGAACCGTTCCGTGAACAAAGCGTACCGTACCGTGAACAAAGCGAACCGTTCCGTGAACAAAGCGTACCGAACCGTACCGTGCAAGTGGTGTAGTAGCACGGTTTAGGGTCTGTACTTGTATGACCGAATGCTGTATTTTTTGCTGGTCAGCGGCATGAAATATTGATGTAATTAAATTGTTTTTAAGATTTCATCAGGATCGCAGCACTTTTCAGATACCTTAATAGTTCTATAGTTGAAATGTAAAAGCTTACTTTGATCCATAGAGTGTATGCCCTTGCACTAGATCGATCTATTAAGACCCCCACATTACCCTCCGATGTACTTGCATACAAATATACGGTAGTGTCAATTAAATACGCAATGTACAGAAAATATATTAATAAAATAGTGAAGACATTAAATTCAAGTAAATGGCCCATAGAATATCTGTAAATAATATTTTATTTAATTACAGAATACATATTTTGTTGAGAAAATATTACTTGATCTGTCTCTCACTGCATACAAACTACGTCACGTTGTAAGAAATGACGTCATATTGAGTGTATTGCGATCAGTGACTTGTTTATAACTTGTTATGTGGGATTTAACTAACGACAAAACAACACGATGTAGTAAGATTGTATGTAGTTTGATGATTTCTTACTGGCTAAATTAGCACATAAACTCATTTTGTGGTATTTTAAAGAAATATTGTATGACTTATATTGTGTATGATGTCATATTCAAGTTTTCCCGTACAAATTAGACTCCGCCTCCTTTTTGTAACCTTAACTGTGCTGCGAATACTTTGCAAAGAAAAGTAAAAATCAGGCCTAATTAATCCTTTACAGCAATCCTAAAACTTGAGGGGGGGGACTTGTTAAATTTGACATTTTGATATGCATCTTCTGAAAAACAAGACTGTAGAATTTTGTGTTTTTTGAATATAATGTACAATGCTCATCATATATAATAATAACAGGAACTTATCTATTGATTTTTTTTTGTTTCCAAATACGAAAATTTAGCATTTCCCTGTAACCCTATAGTAAACGTACCTACATTGAAACGGCCAAGGCTGTAAATGTTCCTTTCCTTAAGCTGGATTTGAATGTTCACTAGAGATTATATACGGTTCAAATTCTACCTAAAGTTAAAGAGTCTCTCTATTGTATACTGAAAGGAAAAAAAAGAAACGCGTAAGAACATAAAAAGCGTAAAAGTTTTAAATATGTGAACGAAACTAATGAAAATTTGTAAGATGTGTATTTTGGTTACTTTGCACTAAAATTTCTGGTCAAAACTACTCAACCATGAGATGTATGGCGTCACATAGGGTAAGTAATAAAAATTCAGAAACAGGTGCATGTTGATGTTGATATTATTGTGATCACATTTTATAGTGCCATACGATGCACTTGTGTTATAGACATCGTTTTTTTTTTTTTTTACATATTTGCAGTCAGTATAAATTTCTTACAATCATGATATTGCTGCCGGACGTTACATTGACTCTAGTAATTGAATTCAATATTGGATAAGTGAATAAAAAGGCAACAACATGTTGCTGTGAAGATTGTTTTAAAACTTTCTCAACCAAAAATGAGATTATTCGGTTGCCAAAGAGTTAACTCAAAATGTGTTTTCTACCAAGCATGACGATGTCGTTCGCGCGAAACAAAGTCACATAAAGATAAGGCTTTTCAACATGCCACCTCGGTTATTGTCAACGCATTATCATTGAAACTGATATTTGAACAGGAGACAATCATGCTCATTTTTTCACCGAAAAAGATTGATTGATTGATTGAATATTGTGTAACGTCCCTCTGGAGGATTTTTCACTCATATGGAGACGTCACAGTATGCCGGTGAAGGGCTTCGAATTTTGACCTTTACTCGGCACTCAGGGCAATTGAGCAGTGAGGGATCTTTATCGTTCCAACGCCTGCCGCTGACATGGAGCCTCGGTTTTTAAGGTATCATCCGATGGGCCCGCAACTTTCACCTCAAAGTGCCGAGGGCATGGCGAAGGAATAGTTGCTACCAATTTTAACGACTAGGTCAGTCGAGATACGAACTCACGGCCTCCCGGTCACGGAGCGAGGTCTTTATACCGACTGAGCTTCCGTGAACGGTCACCGATAATGAACAGAAACTCCCGGCTCTTATTTGGACCGCAAGATTTACAACTTTACGTCGATTATACTCTCACACGCGCACTTACGCGTCGTATGCCTAGTGTTTTTATCGTGTTTACACTGGGAAAATGTACCTAGTGTTTGCCGAGATTTTTTTTACAGACATTCACGTGTACCAAACTAGCTGGATTCTGTACATTCTATGCAGAATCAAAAATTCGTGGAATTCATTGGCCGGGGGGTTTGTTATCTTTGGAGTAATACAGCTACTCTCGGGCATTAAGACTACCGTCGGAAGGGTTGAATAATAATCCAATGAAAAAGATAAATGCTCTGATGAACTCAATGCATAGGAAAATCATATTTGTTACCGATGCGCAAGGGATATTATGGTATTTTTAGTTTTATTTTCGGGAGGTGTCCACATATCAATTTCAATTACTCGGGAATTATCTGTCAAAATCTTACAAAGATTTTTGTAACTTGTTGATTAAAAATGAACTAAAATGTTTAATAACAATGCTGGAAAACATATTCGAAATGATTGTTTTAATTTAACTCAAAAGTTTAAATTGCGTTTCTTTTTTTCTTTTAGTATAGTTTTCAATCAATAAAGCCCCAGTCGGCTACTTTAAATATTCCGTACACTACTAAAATGCATACATGTCCAAGAACAAATAAGATGTCGATATCGACGATATCGACAATATTATGTTGATATCGTATCGATCGTAATCAGCACTATTAATTGGAAATACCTGGTGCTGTATTTGAGACTCCATATTATGTCGATGTCGTCGATATCGACAATATCATGACGATATCGTATCGATATCGATCCTATTTGCACAATTTATTTTCACATTGAGGTATAACATAATTTTAGAAAGTCACAAGTGAAGTACAAATTGATTCCTTATTGGATATAAAAATAAATCAATATGATAAAGAAAATTTTAGGGTTGTTATTGTTTTAGATTAGATTAAAAGTAAGATATTGGATAAGTGTGAAAATTCTTGAAAATATTTTAACAATCATGATTCGATATCGACACGATATCGTCGATATCGACGATATCGACAGTAAGGTAAACTTTTTAAACACAGAAGTGATGTAAAAATAAAGTTTTTATATTAGGATGAAGATTGGTAAAGTAATATGCTCTTAACAATCATGAATCGATATCGATACGATATCGTCGATATCGACAATATCGATGGCAGGTAAAATCTTCGTTAAAGTAAAGTATTTAAACATAAACACATTCAAAGAAACAGGGAATGTATTTACCAAGAACTGAGCAAACATGATTCGATATCGAAGCGATATCGTCGATATCGACGATATCGACACACCAGGGAAAGATTTATCAAGAAAGTTTTAAGTAACAGTTGTTAAAAACACCATATTAAGGATGGAAATCACAATTCCTAGAGCAACCATGATTCGATATCAGCACGATATCGAGGATATTAACAGTAAGGAAATAGTCTTAAAACAAAAAGTATTGTAATATACACATGAGAATATAGAACTATTATAGTAAACTATAAAAAAAAAGTAATGTGTCGATATCGTAACTACATCGTGTCTTGGACATAACTCCTAAAATGACAACTTTTTTTCTTCAGGTAACAGTATGTATGGTACTGGGCTTGATAACAATGATCTGTTCGGGATGTCATTTTCCTCCCTGGACAGAGACCTCGACGGATCTTTTGTTAACTGTGCTGTTGATTTCGGAGGGGGAGGAGGCTGGTGGTACCACTCCTGTCACCAAGCCAATCTCAACGGTCCCTGGTACCCGGAATACTGGTGGAATCCATGGTTTCCTACAGTTTTGGCTGGTGATGAGATAAAGGAGACATCCATGATGATAAAACCTCACTGAAGAGCTATTGGCAGGCAAGCAGTTTGGTACCATATACAGTGCAACTCGTCTTATCCGGAATCCTCTTTTTTAAGTTGACTGGACTTGATAATACTTCTAATAATCTGACAATGAGACAATTATATTTAAACATGGCCTCGTATTGATCAAGATATTAGAATGCATATTTTAAAGACAAGACATGTCTCACTATAGTAAGTTTTGGTATTGAGGAGAACTGTATTACTGCACTTTTGATATTTTTTCAATGTAGAAATATCACTTTCAAAATTATCACTTTTGAGCAAAGCGTTAATTGCAGTTTTCCACTGTGAAAAAGTAAAAAAAAAAAAAGAAGTGTATTCTTTTATGAAATTTTACTTAATTAATTTGTGTCACTGACTTATTTTCTTTAAAATAATTATCTCAATTGCATATAAATTGCTTTGAGTCCTTTATCTCTAAAATATTTCCCCCATAAAACATGCATATTCAATATACAATATATATATACAAATATTCAATTTGTAGTATGCATGTACATTTAAAATGATTTATTGAATGATTTATATGATTATTAAAGTGATTTTATTGATTTGATTGTAAGGCTGTGATTGATTCTAGTTATTGTAAAGTTGATATCGGTTTGATTATGTTATTGATCTAGTTTAAGTGTGTGATTATGTTATAGCTGAATGTACAATTTTATATAATTTTAATTATTTTATATTACAACTTTTCCTTACCATGCAAAATAATACTGATCTGTCATCTATTTTTAAAGTGTCATGATATAATTAATGTTTGATTATAGTATAAAATTATTTTTGGAACAAAAATGTTATTGAAGATCATGCAGATGAAAACGTGTTTGCTATCAAGTGCATTGTATTAGATGTATAATTGTTCTTTTAATATTCATCATTTTGAAACCAATAGAATGCTTTGAATTTTAAATTAAGTTAACATTAAGAATAAAGTACTTTTGACAAAATAATGGTTATCCTTGGCTAAAATGTTTAGCTTCACATCTAATAAAGATAAGATAGTGGCATCAATATATTTGTCGTTTAGTCTTTTTTATTAACCGTATGACCTTTACCTTCATATTTATATCAGAATTAAAAGAACAATAATATTCTAAAACAGAGAGTAAGAAAAAATATTCTGAAGCACACAGTGGAAGGGAGGTTGCCTTAATCTACCATTCATTTCTTTTTTTTTATACAGTAGTATCTTTGGATAGCTGTGCCTTATATTGTTGTGTCTCTCTTCAGATATTTCGACAGATAATTCGTGGTAAGATTTGTATTGTATTGTTTATCTCTGATTCTACCGCTGACAGTTATTACCTTGATCAAACAAATGCCGCAGATATTATTTTCCCATAAATAATAACGTCATTAAAAATTATCAGATCAGATACACATGTCAAATCTGTACAGTTGAAATTAATATTCACTGCAGAATCTAATATCTATTAAGACTATATCAATGTGTTTTCTTGCGCAGTCTAAAAATGTTGGGATTGAAACAGCTGATAAATATGCGTTTTTATAGCCAAGTGGACTGTGTTGCAACCACTTTTGAAATAATTACCATTCTTGAGATAATTATTATTGCATTTAAATAATATGAGTTGGTAAATCTTACAAACCCTCCTCCACCTCATTGAGAATCAAATGATCATCCACCAGTATCTGTAGTCATATGGACAAATTGTTTATCGTAAGCTGATCACGACATGATAGACTCTGATCTATCTAACACAAAGAGTGTAATAAAGATGTTTATTGTTTTACTCTACAAAGTATTTCTGTTCTTGACATTTTTTTTTTAAACTACGATCTCTCTGGAACTTTGTTTTTTTCTATCGGCATTAAAAAATATTATGAAAACCTCTAAGTGTATAATCAAGTTTTTTTTTCATATCATAACCACCGGAGGTAGGGTGGGGCAACAATTGGAAAATTGGAATCTTTTTTGCACTTTTCAAATATCTTAATGCTTGTTGAGTTTATGTGTAAAACTTGACGAGATACATTGAGGACAAGGTATGCCCTTGCAGTAAATGGATTTATTATGGCCCTTGCATTACTTTTTCAATGAATCTGCATACAAATACACGACACTATCACTTGTCTGGAGAATGTACAGACACTTGATAAATAAAATGCTAAAATAGACATCGTATCCATGTAAACGGCTCTTTATGTAACTGCAAATAATATTTCATTTGAGAGTAAGAGACATTTTTTCATTGAACAAAATGTGACTTGACAGCTTCTCACTTTGTTCAAATTTCGTCATTTTTGCGAGATGACGTGACAGTGACAAGTGCATTGTGATCGATGCATTGTTTAGATACTCTTGTGTGGGATTTAACAAACGACAAAACTGCATGCAATAGTAAGTTTGTATATAGTATAAAGCTGTTCAGCTGTTTGAAATAGCATATAATTCAATTTTGTGGTATTTTGAAGACCATATATTATGTGTGACGTCATAGTAAACATTTCCCGTACAAATTAGGCCCCGCCTCTTTAATGTAACCTTAAGTGACCAGTCTGCAGGGGATGCTTACTCATCCATGGTACCTGATCTCTGATGTTTTAGAGGTCCGTGTTCGCTCTGCTCCTATTTTGTTTTTTCTATGGATTTAGATATTGAATACTATTTGTTATTTCAATACCCTTCAAGTTCATACCTACTTAGGACAAGTCCACAAAATGTTTCAAATTCAAATTATGGGGTTAAATATAAACAAGAAAATTTTTACACAACATACAAATGTAGCCTAGGAAATAAAAGAAATAAACAATAGAAATGAGTCTATATCATCAAACCGCTTCGATACAACTGTCATGTGTCCAAATGTGGAGATGATAATTGAAATAATTTTTAAAACTTAAAATCGAAAATAACGATACACTTTTAAAAAATGTTTTAATTTTAATTATTTTCTTAAGTAAATAGTGGCTGTATAACATATAGATTAAAATCAGACACATAAATCACCTTTTTTAGAAAATGATTAACATATAAAGAATATAAAACACGAAATTTGTAACGTACGATTTTAAGACACAAGTAAAATTTA